AGGGCCCTAAAAAACAAGAGGCCTAGATCAGAAAAATACTAAGAGACGACAAATGTTAGGACACAAATTGAATGAGGTGACACAGTGTAACAAAAGCAAGCAAGTAGTCTTTTATTTATCATCAAAACAGCAATAAATCAGGTGGAACAGCAGGTATCGTCCTGTCCTGTTTTCGCGTTACGGGTTTCACGTCAACCTGACGATTTGCGGCACTGTCGTGACTCTTTGGTCATAGTTACAGGAAGCGGAATTTCTTGTTTTTTTTCTAGGAACAGGTCAAAATCAATGCGCGCGCGGACGTCATCCATAAAATTTACTTGGTGTGGCCTTAACTCTCTACCGGAACTTTGCCCGGAGGTCACTTACGATAGGGTACTGTTGCAAGCCTGGCGTTATTTTATCGCTACTTTCATGGTAAATGCTCCGAGGAACTTCACTCGCTAGTGTCCCCACTTCTCAGCACATTCTCAGCACGGGCACGTCTTGCCACTTCAGAAGCGAATCACCATTTCGTCCTCCATTCACTACCTCTTAGGAGGAAGTTCCACGCTGAAAGCTTCTTTCCGATAACAACATCACTATGTAATAAACTACCACGTGATTGTTTTCCATATGGGTATAACTTTTCAAGTCTAAGGTCAACAAGCATCTGTCGTCACTGGCTGTACACTGACCCAAAATACTTTAATGAGTGGCCCCTTTATGAGCCTTGTTTTGTGGTGACTGTGGTTATAACTGTGGTTACGACTGTGTCTATGTCTATAATATAAGTAGCACCAGCCCGTAACTACCCCCGAACTACTGACCATTAGTTTCCCGACCTGACAGGTTGTTGTTTTGGGAGTGTGACCCTTGACGCCCCGAACTGGTAGCCAATAGGGTAGGAGTTAATAAGTAACCGGCAGTGGTATACGTCTCCGGCCAGGCCTGGGGACGCTATTAATAAAGCCTCGGTCACAACCCGCAATTGCGTTCTGTCTACGTGCAAAAACGTCAGCAAATTGTGGTGATCCGTAAGCGGTGAGTACCGCCACCGTACAGAATGGAATGGTTTTGGGAGTACGCAGACAATGCAGAGAGGCAATGCAGGTAGAATCAATGGAATTTCGAAGGTACAAAAGGCATGTCCAAAACATGATATATTACCCTTACACTAACATACACTGACAGGTACATTGTCTCGGACTGGAAGGCGCTAGCTGAGGTGATGGGGATCGTGGGACCAACAGGTAATGTGTGCATTTGCTAAGTTTTACCTGATTAAAGTGAGGAAATTCACAAGATTGGTGACATGCATAGCAGGAATCGAAGTCGTTACCTTGGTTTCGAGCCGAACTCTGTCTTTAGGGACTGTACGATATTTACTGGGGAGGAGGCTAATGCACTGGAAGTTCGGTCCAAAAAATGTTCAGTGGCTCCCCCTTCCCCATCTCAATTTTTTCCATGCCTCGCCCCCTCAGCTCAATTTTTTTCCATCCCCCCCCCCCAGGTATTATGTAAAAATGGTAAAAACAAAACAAATCACGTTTTAAGCACAAAGCAGGCCAGATTTGCGCGTCAGGGCGACCGCGTCCAATTAGGATAGCTGTCGCCTGCTGTAAAAGAAGAACCGGCGTTTCTCAATTAATGTGCAAGTTTTAGATCTACATGCTTTAGTCTTAATTTTTGTTATTTTTCAATAATCTGTTTTCTAGCCGGTCATCTTTTGTTTGTCGTAAGATTATGTCGAGCGCTGAAGGCGCGAGAGTTCGCGAAAAAGGCCGGTGTAATAGTTGACCCTCTGAACATTTTATTTCCTGCATTTTGAGGGGCATTTTGCTGCTCAACTAAGCTTCTCTTTTGGTGTAAAATTACACATTCAATGGTTTACTTTGGTATTTTATAGGGGGCGTGGGCCGTCATATGCATGTCCGCGGTCAAGATCGAACACACAAGCTTCACTTTTACTTTATACCTACAGAATAATAGGGAACCGCATCGCCCAGTGCCACTCACCATATGCACGTTGAATCTGTGATATCCGACACAAACATTGACAGGATGGCAGTCTGGGAAGCCCTGGTGCGCTGTGAGCGCCGCTGGCTGTGGGTCTTTGTCCTCGTCTGCCTCACACCAACTTTAACAGGTGAGTTGTTTGGTTTAGTTGGGGATATATTATCTTGAAGTCATCATGTTTTTTATTGACTAATGTAAGGCATGAGCCTTTTGTTATTTCTTGTTATTTCATTTGGTGTTGATAATTTATGTTAGGGGCGTTCAGGTGTTCTATGCAGAAATGTCCTACCGGACGTGGGCGTGGTTACGAAGGCCAGTATAAGTAGATACATTGACAAAGCTGAAAGCAAAAGCTTAAGAATAGTTTATGAAAGGTTTCCAATAACTAAAAGCCAAAGAATGGGTGAAAATTTTATGATTAGTTTACAGAAAGAGCTTTGGCAAAATTACCACAATAATAATGCATGAGGGACACTTCTATATTTGCATTTCATGGGTACCCCATGTAGAAATGCCCCCCCCCCTAGCTACGGGATTGCTATACTTTGAATATTTATTGTAAGAAATCATTGATACATAACGTCGGCGAGGTCACCGATGGATCACAATTATGATATGAAGTTCGGTGGGGGGGGGGCATTTCTGCATGGCCGGTACCTCTATGCAGACCCCCCCCCCGCTACGGAAGAAAAATGTTATTCTTTGAGTATTTATTATAATGATAATGAATTTATTAGCAAAAAGCAGACTTACATGGTTGAGTCTGAAGTATTATACTCATTTACATTGAAAAAAAACAGCTATCAATAAAGGTTTAAAACATGAATCATGTTCAGAACTTTTTTTAAATACGATGAATCACATGTAATCGGAAAATAATGTTGGATCTTCTTAACGTAGCTCGAGAATGTAGCTTTTGATGTCATAAATATACTACAAGATGAACAGATAATTCCAGAAAGCACAGGAGTTACTTTTACATATATGCATTTCTATACATGCAATTGAGTATGGTCTACAGGAAGCCATATTCGTCTAAACTGAAGTAGTTATAGCAGTTTGTGTTGGGAGGAAACATTTTTACATTTGTATACGTCGGAAAAGACCACATTTCTGGTCAAACATTATCGTGATCAATCAGTGACTATACCGACGTTGTGTCCAAAAGGTTTATCACTTTAGATATATGACGTAGATGTTATTCCGTGAAGAGGGCACTTCTGCAAAGGGTACCCTGCAGTACTGCCCCATGCAGAAGCCCCTACCCCACCGAACTTAGTAGATAAGTCAACATTTTGGTCAAAACTATGATAATTTATCGGAGACAATGCCGATGATATGTCCAAAAAATTATTACTTTAGCCATATATGCGATCTTTCGTTATTCCGTGAAGGGAACAATTTGCATAAGGTATTATGCAGATCCCCCCTACAGAAGTGTCCCCACACAGAACTTGGCGGAAAAGTCTACATTTCTATTATTTTATTTATTTGAAATTGCAACATGGCAATACAATGTTGCCGCCAGGCAGCTGATAGCTGATATTGCGACATCATCGACATAGGGTTTCCCGAATGTAGGACGATTTTGCCAATACTTCATTCCACCTAGTTCTAGAATTCTGCTTGATAATTTCAAAATGATTATGAATGGGTAAATGTTTTTCTGTTTTACTGCAGGGTGTCCTGATAACTACTCGTACCTCGCACACACTTACCGGTGTTACCGAGCCTACGGTATACTGAATACCTACGACGAGGCTGTGGCTACGTGTCTCGCTGACGGCGGCAGTTTAGCCATGCCTCGCGACAACACAACCAATAACTTCCTTGTCGCTTTGAAAAATAACGTCAGCACTAGCAGTAAATTCCGGTTCGGGCTGCACCGTTGGAATGAAACGTGGAAGTACGTAGATGGCGGAGAGTTAGGGAATTTCACCGACTGGGCCGAAAATGAGCCCAACGATATAAATGAACGGTGTGCTGAGTACCTTCCCGTATTTTGGTACGGATCCAAATGGAACGACGGGTACTGTTCAACACAGAGACGTTTCCTCTGCGAAGCTGAGCCAGGTAGGTCACGGAATGGTGGGATGGGGGGGGGGGGGGGGACGCATTGTGTTTTTATGTGATGCTCGTATGTTGGGGTTACGGAAAAGGCTTGGCTGTCTACCTGGCCTATCCACATAGGATGACTATCACATCATGCTTCTCAGACACCCCATTTATATCTTCACAAATACTACGACACTTATGCACCTTCACCCTCAAGCAAATTACATGTATGAAAGTTACACCGTTTACATTGGATGTGGTAATTTTTATATTTCAGTTCACCATAGGTAAAATGGACCAGCACAAAACACTTCCATACAGATTCTTTTTCTATAACCTTCGAAGTCCAAAGTGGAATTTAGAATGTCCCTCTACTCAATGGACTCATCCATCGGCCACATGTTATGTCCAAATTTTAGACCAAATGACCCGAAATTTGTGGTTCCCAACATTGCAAAATAGAACTTGGCAACTTACCAACACAACAGCCTTAAAGTGGACAGAAATATAGGTCTTGTATTCAGCTTTGTTTTGAACAGTTGCCTATCCATACTGCGCAATCATTGGATCATCCTTCATTAGTTATGGGGCAGTGCCGAAGTCGCGCGGCGTGGCCAGTCCTCTGGATGTCAAGAAGTATTAGGCTCTGTTCCAAAACCCGGGTGGGGGGTGGGTATTTAAGTATCATCTTTCAAATTTGCTTCTCTACACCCATTCCCTCAACACCACCCTACCCAAGGACCGGCCGACACCACGCTCCCCGGCGGTGCGGATGGATCCAATGAAGAATGGCAGTGTGCTCCGTCTACTACCTCCTTTTATGGGATTGATTATAACGTCATTTCGGATTTAACCAATGAGAGCGTCAGCTTTGTTTTGAACAGTTGCCTATCCATACTGCGCAATCATTGGATCATCCTTCATTAGTTATGGGGCAGTGCCTTCGTCGCGCCAGCCTACCCTGTCTTCCCTGCATCTTCATCAGCGTCCTCGACACCGAATCCTCTTCCTGTCTTAAAAATCCCAAAACTCCCCTTTCTCATCCACTTCTCATACCCTCTCTCATCCAAACTTCCCTTTCTCATCCACTTCTCATACCCTCTCTCATCCAAACTCCCTTTCTCATCCACTTCTCATACCCTCTCTCATCCAAACTCCCCTTTCTCATCCACTTCTCATACCCTCTCTCATCCAAACTCCCCTTTCTCGTCCACTTCTCATATCCTCCCTCATCCATTTCTCCTCCATTCCTTATCCTTTCCTGCGTTCCTTACGCAAAGCTCCGCTTCGATTCCAACCTCTCGAAAGCCCACAGATACGACCGAGCCGTGTCGATTCTAGGCCGATGGTACTCCGACTTGGATGGGGAGGGGTCCTTCCTATTGTGGACTCTGTGTCTTGTCTTTGTGCAAGCTGCACTGGCAATTAGTCACTAACTCTCCAGTCCAAGTGGACCCGCATTACCATTTTCTACCCTTTTCACACCTTAAGGTACATGTAGTCGGCAACTTGCTGGTCGAAGGACCCTCCTAACCTAACATTGACTTCTTGTCGGGCAACGTCCCTTCATTCCTCGGTGCCCTAGCACAATGTCGACAGAGTCGTTTCTTCTGCCAAACAGGGGTGAAGATTGCCCTGGACACGCGCCCACTTCGTGGCTCCCCAGTCGGCTCACCCCACAAAGGTGATCCTCTCGCTCTGTACCACCCAATACAAGGCTTGTCAGCCTTCCTTTGGGGATTTCTGCCCTGTGAGCCCCACAACGACCTCTAATCTCCTGCCTTTCAGTTGAACGTTGACGGTACTTGATCCGCCGGGTTTCCCAGTCCCGCGAGCCGTCGCCTTGTCAACCATTATCTTCTTTCCCCCTTTCTTATTAACAACTTGTATCGGTTCACCACACCAGTGACACTCCGACAAGCATGCCCGGTAGCGGCCATCGGGTGTCTGCACCTGCTGGTGCCAACCGACACCCTATGCGCGCCCCGGAAGCCCGTGCAGGCGC